TAGAGGTATCCGCGAGAGTTAAAAAAAAAAGAAAAACGTCGCAGTCGCCCTAATAACAACGTAGACATAACACGGGGACGAACTATATCCCCCCGCCGAATCGATATCTTGGTTGCATCTGTCGAATTTACCCTTTCGCAGGTTGAACGCGCCATAATTCCGCTTCGCGATCCACCCATGGTGCTTTTACATCTCCAACCCTCTGCCTCATACCTCTCGATCGCCAGACAATAGCATGTAGCATATTGCTGCGCATTATACGAATTATTACGCAGGCACGGCATTAAACGCATCGGCCTTGAACAAATATAATAAATATATATATATATATACCGGATGGTCTCCGTCGACCTAAGCGCGTACCGCACGGACGCGAACGCTGTTAAACGCGTTCCAGACCTTATGGCATCGATGTTTCCGCTTACGCTACATTTACAGTGACCCCGTCGGCATGAATGCGCTCGCCTGATGCACGTATGCACGTATTTGGGTCGAAAGATATCGGTCTGAAATCTCGTAATGTACGCGCTCGCTTGCGCCCCGGCGGTCGACACATCGAATCGATCGAACGTGCGCCCCACGCTCCCATTTTCTCGGATCAATCGCGAGAGACATTTGTTGAAAACATTTCCGACGTAACGACGACGTTTATTAAAGTGCAAAGTTCGCTCTAATGCGAAAATACGTACGGGGCGGGGTATACGCGAGGAGCGGCTAAAAATATAGTCGTTACGTGCAGGCCGTAGCGAAAGGTCAGTGGTTTCGTACCCTCCCTCCATTTACGTTTTAACGTGTAGTTAATAAGCATAGCCACTTCGCGGTTTCGCACAATAATTCGATATCCCTCCTCCGTGTAATTTAAAACCCGCTCCCTGCGATCTATAATTTGCGCGTGTTTGCAATAATATAATTCTATAATCCGCCCAACGAACGAACGTTCAGCGATGCTTGAAAAATCCATGCCGACGTCGAAACGGTGCCATTTGCGCTATAACGAGGAATGATCCCACAGCTCGACTTACAAATGTTGCTCCTCCAGTGAAAGCCTTTCGAGCATTCTTTCCAAAGGAAATACGGTAAAAACGCGTCTGTATATCTGTGTGTATATATTTTTTTCAATTTTATAAGACGCTGCGTCGCATTTTTCCATCGCTGCGCGTCATCCCGGGAGTAGCGAAAGGGTTGTAAATCGCTGTGCGATTTCACCCGTTCACGACGTGTTCCCAGAGCAGATCGACCCGATCCGAAAATGCGTACTTACAATCTTTATTCGCTTTTCTCCCCTGGCTACGTCTACCTTCGGGGGATATCCCTTTATGGTAACATCGCCGCGAAACGGGCGAATCGATTCGCTGGCAACGGTGTTGTAAGTTTCAAAGCCAATTCGTCAGACGTGTCTCAGGAAGACGGGACAATGGGTGGCGTCGGCACGAATTCGCGACGTTAACCCAGATCGTTGTCCTTGGAGGTGGTCCAGCCGGCCGGGTCGTCGGTTGCCAGGATACCCGGAGCCGGACTCCTGCGAGAGATCGCCGTAGAAAATACGCGGCGGGTGCTTTTTGCGCCACCCGCTCGGCCCGAAACGGGATTCAAGCCAGCCGAGCTAACCCGGTGTTTTCTCGTAAAAGAGATCGTTGGAGGGTTTTCATGCTTCGTAAAAGGATAAAATGCTACTGCCACTCGTAACGGGAATGAGACAAGAGAGATGGGAGTTTCTAACGAGACAAATTTGTGACGAATTGTTTTTAGATGTGTTTAACTTAATCCTTTTAGTTCCTGTTATTTGTCAAGTAATCACGGAGAGAATTTCTTTGTTTGTAATGGAAAAAAAAATGGATCGTAGTGTAAATATGTATGATATGTATATTTTAAAGTAAAGAAGAGAGAGAGAGAGAGAGGAGACGAACGAGTCTTTCTCATTCGACGTTGAATATGTACAAAGCAAATAAAAATGTACTTCTTATTCATATTTTTTTAAATATTTGTCATATAAGTTTAAAGTGATAAGTAATTTATTTAATAAGTGCATCATTCTCTCT